CTCCGAGTAGCCTCTGTCCTGTCGGCGAAAGCACGATCCTATGACTCGGCACCTTATTTTGATGCGACTGCAGGAGGTTATCGTAAAAGTCCGTGGGATTATACTGCATTGGGCCGACAGAGACCTCCGTTACCTCGTCGTGGGAAGCAGCAGCGTTATTTGCGGCGGCGGCTGCTGCGGCTGCAATGGCGCTAGCGTTCAGCTTGCTAGTAGCCCGGAGGATCTCATTCTCAGTTTGGTACTTTTGGAGCTGTTGCTTGAGCATCTCGTTTTCGGACATGATAGTGGAAGAAGAGGCTTCCATTGTCGCAAGCTTCATTTCGAGGTCCTTGAAGGCCTTTTCTTTGCGCTCTCGGAACGCTCGTTGACTATGGAGGATCATTAGCCATTTCATTTCACATGCGAAATTCATCACATTGCTTGAAGAACATACGCTTGCCGATTTTGCTCTTTCCGCCGCTACAGGTACGTATGCACATCAGTACAACTCAAGATTGACAGCCCAATAAGTTTTGCAAACATACAGACTGCGCAGGTGTCAACTCCTTCTCTTCGCTACTGCTCCTCCCTCGCATGCTCTGCTCTTGGTGAAGAAGCTCCGCATCCATCTCTAACGGCTGCGCTTTTATCAACCCGGGCTGGCTGCCTGTTGGCGTTGGAAGTCCGTCAACACCGCCATCGTATGCCCGAAATGGGTCGAACGCTGTAAAATTAGTCTATCCCAAAAGCCAAGTCAGTATATCAAAGGTTCTGGACGGTAACTTGTGAAACAATACAGAAGAATGGTATTGTGAATAAAATCAATAGACACTGAAACTCACTAAGTCGAAATGGCGCTCTTCGGAAAAGGCAGGACAAGGGGGCCAAACTTACCGGTGGAGAATCTGCATCGAAGTCATTCTGGGGTGTTGGAGGAAACCCCATACTACTAGTAACAAATTGAGGGTTGTAAGAATATGCAGTGTAGTCCATCTTGGATCTTATTTTTATTTTCTGTCGGGTCTGACAAGAAACTAAAAAAACGCGTTCCGTTCCTGCACGAAGCAGCTCACCGAAGTCGTGATCGCCTGGCTTTCTGCAACCTAATGCCCCATCTCAGTACCCACGCCCCACCAAAACACTCGCAATATTTGTAACGTTAAATTTTTTTTTTTTTTTTTTTTTTTTTTTTTTTTCTTAGATAACAGTGCTAGAGAACAAAATGCGGGTAACGCAAAACAACATTATGGCGGTGAGACAAACTTGCAGGCAAATTGCCTGTGTAAGGTATGGTCGGCGTTGAAAGGAAGGGGAGGGCAGGAAAAGGTTTGCTGTACTTTGCTTATGGATCACTTACCAATTGCTTCCAGCTGCAACAATCCCAGGCTGTCGGTTGTTTCGCTAAAGGGGAAGCCACAGTACGGTGAGGTGCGGGTGATGAGCGTGCGCTGAATTAGGGTCGATAAAAAGGAAGCTGTCTCCCCTCTTACTCCTGAATTCTCTGGAACCCCCTCCGCAGTTCAAATTCTGCCCTTTTCTCCAAGAATAAATAATCAATAATAAACCCCGAGAGCTGGGAGCTTAGGTGAGGATGCAATGAGCAGGAATAAGGTGATAAGGAGGCCAGGTGTAGATGGGAGGGCGAGCTAAGATTAAAAAAAAAAAAAAGGGTCAGATGATGGTGGGAGAGAGGGAAGGGCAGGGCGCTCAAGAGTGGGGTGATCTCTAGCAAATTGGTAGAGAATAGTGTAAAAAGCAAGTAGCAGCAGACGTATCTATGGGTAAGTGGGAGGGGGGGGGGGGGGGGGGGGGGGGGGGGGGGGTTCTGTCCTATCGCGAAGGGCGGGGTGCCGACGGGGTGCCAGGTGCGTTTCCCTGTGGTTCAGAGATACTGTGGCGTGTACGATCTGTGTAAGCGGCAGCACTGGAGACGATCTAGGATAAGATTGGAGGAAGGGGGCGTCGAGGAACGATCTAAGGCACCAGTTTCGGGGTGCTAGAAGCGACTAAGCAATCTAAAGCAATCTGGAAGGAATGAGATGTCAGCGACAGTGCCGCATGGGATTTATCCGACGGCAAGGAGCCAACGGGTATGGCTGGCTGGCAGGCAGGCAGGCTGGCAGGCAGGCAGGCAGGCGGGCGGGTCGGGCGGGCTTGGGAGCTTACTTTGCGTCCTGCTGCCGCGGCGGCACTATGAGTGTTCGATGAATACACAAGCGAGGCCAGCAGGTGGGAGGATGGCGGTGGGGAGCAGCGCAGCGCGGGCTTTAAGGACTTAGGGTGGCCGTGGGGTAGGGGAGGGGAGGGAGGGGAGGGGAGGGCGATAAGATCGCATCCAGCGGGCGGCGCACGTAGCACAGCACAGCACAGCACAGCACAGCACAGCACGGCACGCCGCTCGCGCCAGTTCGCCCAGTCAGCGCCTCCGCTATGAGGGAGTGTCTCACGGGCCCGCAGCCCGCAGCGCAGCAGCCAGCCGAAGCAGGAACAGCGCAGCGCAGCGCGGGCGGCCGTCGCCCGCGGCGTGGCTCACCCTGCGACGCCCACGATGCCGTTCTCCCCGAACGACAGCAGCAAGCAGCAACAGAAAGCACGCCGCTCCGCCAGGGGGCTGTGGCGAGACCGGGGCCGGGGCCGCGGCGGAGCGGGATACCATTGCCTTCCTCCGACTGCCCCTAGCCATAAACCGCCAATCGCAGCCGTGCAAACCAGCCCAGTCCAGTCCAATCCAATCCTGTGCCCATTCTGTGCAACGTCGGAGATCGCGGGAGCAAATGCCCTCCTGCCCAGCACAGTGCCGGTACACCAATCGATGGGAGCGGCTAGCTGCCGGGAGGCGGCAGGACCGATCTGGCAGCGGAGTCGAAGAATACGAGCACAGCACCGTGCCCGGCCCCCTCGGAGACTGGCAAAACGGTAAAAGAGGGAAAAAGAAGCGGTGTCCGTATCACCGCTCTCGTACTCGGGAATTATAGTGCGAGAGGGATCGTGGTCGGTGCTGCGCCGCACGGTGGAAGCCTCCAGTCCCGCGCTCCACCAAACCCTATTCAAGCGCAAGTTAGATTTGATTTCCGAACTGGAACGTTCGTCGTGTCACTGAGTCACACTCCATACAAGTTCCCCCCAGAGGGAGCCCTGGACGCTGAACCCTCACATTCCCCCTTGCTAAACGGTTTGTTTTTACTCCAACACGACGTACTCTACAATTCACCGCCGCCGGTGCCACATCCGTACCCGGTATCCAACGCCCCCCCCCCCCTTCCACACCTCGCTCTTGCTTACTGGTAGTACACTGCCCTGCTTAAGCTTATACTAGAGCCTCTTGCCCAGAGAAAGCCAGCAGGCAGTGTCACCAAGCTACCTACCGACCTGCAGCATCGACTCGATTGCCGAGAGTAAATACTAACTTGTATAACCTGACCACTCCGAAATTATCCCGGATCGTAACCTTTCCCTGTGCCGCACGCAAAGACCACATATTCAACACCATAACATACGCTCCAAACAACGCCACAGCCCGTGTGCAATACAGAAATATTCCGATACGGAGTATTCTTGATTTTTGTTACATTCCATACCAGTATCGGAGTATTTTTGATTTTTATTACATGTCCATATCAAACCCACCTTGAACTAGCACACATCAACTACTGTACTCACTCACACATATAACTTCCCCTCCCCCATAAGCCATCCATGTACAACTCTACCACCTACATATGTACCTACATGGATACCACCATCGCTAGTGAAGCGAGGAGTGGGGGCTGCTGACCACTCCTAACCAGCTGCCTGCATACATACATACATACATACATACATACATCTTATCTACACCCTCAAACTCAACGTTTTAATCTTTTCAATTCCAATTCGTTTAAACCAGAACCCTGAAATCTCCCACCTATCATAAACCGAATCTATTTATAATATTCCTTGCTTCTAGACATCGATATTACCACAAAAAAGGGCATTTCAAAGAATAGTAGTGAATATACATCATATATACCCTATCGTATGTACTTCACCTACCGTAATTCCACCATCGATATAAGAACCTTCCAATTCCAATACAGCCATGCGTTCCCATTCTCCGCTCACATTAATTACCGTGATACACTTATTACATCTCTTCACACTGTGCCCTTGCACCCTCAATATACATTCAACATATCGAGTTCTTGAAGTAACCACTCTAGCTTACACTCCTACAGGCAAGAAGAAGCACATACATATACAGAAACCACCTTGACCTCTTTTCAAAAACGTTCTAACCCGCAAGCTCTACTCCCGATATATATATATACATACACCCCACTAGTAGCACTCACTCAACACTACATATACCGATTCCCACGAAATTCGAAAATCTCCAAATATCAACCCCATCTCTTTTTTTTTTTTTTTTTTTTTGTTAATATATATATAATACCCACCCCACCCAATTCATGAATAGGGCATGCCTCCAGTCGTGCAAAGTTCGGTCACTGGCCATCGAGGCGGGACAGGAAAACTTACAGCGTTTTAGGTCGGACACTCCCTACCCCTGAAAGGACAAGTAAGATACAATCTCAAACCTTCCAGTTTCAATTCCGAGCTCTCTTGAGCAAGTTATGTTAGTGACGTTATCCTTCGACTTATGGGTTACATTAGCCACGCGATGTTTCCCCCGCCACCCCACTACGTCACTTGGTGTCGTTACCCTCAGTTCTATGTTCTAGGCACGTCAAGAAACTCGTCAACTGCGATCCGGGCTTTTTTTTTTACTTTTTATGATATAGACCTTTTATACAGCACTTTCCATCCCTCTATAGCATCGATATCGTGCAAATTCACAGAGTTTTGTAGTCCCATGACTACCGCAGGCTCGAGCTGTACGTGTTTCTCTCTCCATTCAAATCAAGAATAAAAAGTTGAAATTCACGCAAGTACCATGAAACGCCTGAAATGCAAAGTCTAGAGGGAAAAGATCTTATACCAATCAACCATGCTGAGATTTACATTAAAAATAATAAAAAAATTTCCGTCGCCGGGAATTGAACCCGGGTTCTGAGAGTTCACATTCCGAAGAATATTCGGAAATGAGAGTCTCAAATGCTAGCCACTACACCACGACGGATATATTTCAATACCATGTTTGGTGGTAAGAAGTACATGATCACATTACCATGAAATGGACAAGTTAAATCGATAACTGAAAGAAAATTGTTCAAGGCCACACACGTAAGTGGAGAGAAAATCGTTCGAGGCCACACACGTAAGTGGAGTTGGCAGCAATGTATTATAACATTGTCGAGCTAATTAATATATTTTATTCCGTTTCCGTTGGAGTTAATTTCAACCTGAATTCTTCATGGCAAATCATACGGCGGATTTTGTTCCAATCTAGTGCTTCGTACTCCTTCTGATCCAGCTCTATAATTTGTGCTTGACTACTAGGCCACCCTTCTTGCAAATTTGTTTCTTTCTTTTTCAGTTCTGCCTTCAATATATTTCATACATTTTTCAATGGGATTGAGGTCAGGTAGCTTTGCGGGGCACCGATACTTTTAAATGTTTGCATTAGTATAACATGGTACAAGGTGCTCAGTGGGACCTGATAAATCTTCCATAACTTCTCAATCTAGTCAATTCTCATTAAACCATCCATAATTGGCTTTAGATATGACTTCAGACATCGGCGACATATTGGTTTGCATTCACTCTCCGCTATTTCGAGTTCCAGTTATTTCTATTTAGTATGTCGATAAATAAAGATTAGTGGAGTATGATGTGCATACGCAATAGTAGTCCTGAATTGACAGGATAATCGACCAGAATGTTTGATTATCTATATTAATAGGGATCATGACGAGCTCCACACTTCGGTTGAAATTGTAATAGTAAACCATCTTTTCCACTCCTTTTACTCTTGGTCTTATTAATTAAAACTCTTTTTCCACCTCACTTAGGTAATGCCAATCTGGACTGCAAATGCTCTAAGGCCCCCTTCACTCGCTCATTTTCTAATACTGTATTGTCATTTCTTCTTCCTTCGTGCCGCATGACTATCGTAGCCTTTATCTCGTACTCTATTCGCATGTGCAAACATCCAACCGAAAAGTTGCTGTGAAATCTGCAAGCCGAGAGCTCCGGATGGGCTTCAAATTAATTTTATCACTGTATTGACACCATATCCTGTAGTTTCGCTGGGATTATTTTCGCGTCTCCGATTGCTCTTGATATGCCATCCTATTATAACGCTAGCCTCAGTTATCAGGAGATCGAGGCCGAAAGAGGTCCATCGGGGTAGGCGGGGTAGGCACTATTCACAACTCTGATACCAATCCACTTGTTGCCCCGCAGTTGCGGTAATGGGTATCGAACGATCTCGGACTAAGAATAGATGAATTTGCACTGCTTGTTGCCTTAGGATGTTGCTCTGTCTCTCGTTGCTGCTTCAGTGCGATGATCGAAAGTTTGTGGGGGGTACGTTTGAAAAGATAGACAGATAGACAAGCCTTGCGGTCATGGGAGGTGAAGTATTCCTGGCCAGTGCCAAGACCATCCCTCGTTTGATCTCCATTATTGGCAAACGCGATGCAGTACCCGACTCGCTCAGGCAGACAAGACCTGCTTTCCAATATGAGCACCAATAAATTTCAAAACTTCAGAGCAAGCCTGAGTAGCCAATTACTGCGGTCTTGCTGCAGATGCCCACCGGATTAAGCTTCAGGGTGAGCAATTTTTCGTGACTGACCCTGCGCATGATCAGACGCACTATACATAGCAGCTAGTAGTCCCGTGAATTCCTGTAAGAGCGAGAATGTCAACATTGACGGGGGTAATATGCTGTGGCGTGAAACTCACCCATGATGTAGCCTCGCCTAGCCAGTAATTTGGTATAACTAGATATCGTATGTAAAATCCATCCATTCTACTACTGCGACCTCCAAATAGAGACCAAGTATTAGTACTCCAGGGAAACTTCCAAGCAAGCGTATTTGGGCTTAATCCAATGATGACCTCAACCCTAGGATGATTCAACTGCCATCTATTGACGGAAAAACGTGCATATTTGCAGTACTCATGCCTTTATAGTATCCCCTATTCCCCAATCTCGGCTTCACTCCTAAGTAGACTGAACCGCCACTCGAATTGAAAGCCCTAGTTGTACTCTACTGAATCACCCGGCATACCGGTGACCTCAGTTTAAAACCTAGAAGTGGCATCCCGCATGAAACCCTCAGGAGTGGAAATAGGCTACTCGGCACTGTATTATACCTTGTATAAGGCTTCAAATGAAATTCATGACTTGTATTGAGTAGTCTGCTGGAGTAGAGCTAGGCACGGAAGTATCTAATTAAATAGCAATGAATAGCAATTCAGAGGCTACATAGGCAGTGGTGTCGTGACTTGATTCGTAAAATCTAGTCTCTTGTGCACAAATGCAGCATGTGATTGTCCACTCAACAAGTGCTTTATGCATAACTGACATACTTAGTCATGTTCTGCATAAACAAAAAGGACGTTTAGCTTTTGCGAACCACGAGAGAAGACCGGGGATATTTGAGCGCACAGCGAGGCTAGACAAAGTGCAAGGCAGCAAGGCTCCAGTACTTTCGTACGAGCGAACTGCGCGGGGACAGAGGACCGAGTCTCGGATTGCCTAAACTGGTAAGATCAAGCTCAATAACTTTGCTTACACTCCTAACGGTAACGTGTATACGCACGCCAACATCGTTCGTTTGCTAATGGCACCTCTTCGGTTGAACTCAATTTACCAACATGCTTCCCGGAATTTCTCCGTGGCGCAAGTACGGCACTAATTTTTCGGCGTCCAGGCCCTGAGTACTAGTAGGTACTTGTAGCTACTTGCAGTAGATAAAGCTCGGTTCATTCCGATCACTATCAGGAATGTGAAGTTGGGGAAATGCCCTGGAAAGGTTAGTTTTCAGAAAGTCAGGTACAATCGATCCCACTTTTCCACTGGGAACCAAAAGGCCATTAATCGGTAAAGGGTGAATTATGTATTTACCCTTGTCGGCTGGCTGCGAGATTACCTTGTCGGGTGGATCCAATATTCGTTTCACCAAAAATAGAGGTATCATTTGTGAATTATTACTCTGTATAGGTAAGGCTTTCCAGGCCTTCCCTTGTCGTGCAGACCAAGATTGATCAGGTGGTCGCAAGTGACCACCAACTTAAGTATCGCAGGATACCAGCCTGACACTCCGTCGGCACGTACCAGTCAACATTGTAGAATACACCTAAGTAAGTAAGGAACATTTTTTTTCCCAGGAATCTATTCGCAATTGGGTGCAATGAAAAAAAAAGAAAAAAGCATGGAGTCATCTTAGACCCCATGTGGAGATAAGTACTTTGTGAAGAAAACTCGGAAGATTTGCTGGGGAGCTCCAACGTGTATTTCCACGACCAGCCTCGGCCTTTGACACGAGTTATTCCTACTGTGACGGTAACTCTTTCCGATTTGCCAAGGGATTATGATGGAGATGTCCTCTTCGATCTTCGTCATCGAGATGAAGGGGGTCCACGGAAATACGGAGTCACGGGTTGGAGCTACCACATGCGGTCTAGATGACCATTAAATTTTCAGGCCTCACTAAGGAATCATTCATGCAGTTCCGGCTCAAACTGTGTCAAGTTTGTCGTTAGCTGTATGCTCTACGGAACCAGACAAGGAAGTTCGTACGGTAACACCGCCGATGCGCTGGATGCTGTGGCATGCATGTGCTGACCACAGAGCACACCCGGAGAGAAAACGTCAGGGAAGTACTTCTGAACACCTGTTCGTATTTTTTTTTCTGTTCAAGCAGGATTGCTCAATGCGAGAAAGTCCAGTGGGTTCATGAGTCTGAACCTCGATGCTGTACGTAACTTAATTGTTCGTCCAGTTGGGGAGTGTTACCGTCAAGAATTCTGAGCATCTAAGCATCTTTTTTGTCAGTATATCCGAATAGGGTTTGTCGGGAATAGCCTTGAAGGCCTAGGCTTGATGATTGATTTGTTGTCTGCATCAATGCAAGGTGAGGTGTAAGGACACCATGCCCAGGTACGCCACCAAGCAGCTGGCGACACGGGGACAGACGGTGAAAGAGGGATGGTATTCTGGAGCTTGCTTTTTATTGAATGCCAAGGCTGATAATCAGCATGGTGGGGAATCCATAGGTTCCTGAGGGCCTTCTAGTCTTGATGGCTTCATGTTTATCAGTACATGAGTCCCGGAACCGGTCGATGTGAGTGGCGCGCTGGATCAAATTTTAGCATCGGCCAGAGCCCGAGAACGAAAAAGCAATGCAGGTTCGGAAGAGACCTGCTCGCAACGGTACTCAAACCACAGGTTCTACACCACTACATCCAATTGTAGCACCTAGCATGGGTAGCACTGAGCGAGATCTTGACCAATAACTAGATGCAGTGACCACACAGACTGCAATATATGCGTGCAATTGCTTCTTGCATGAACTTTGGCTGCAGAGTACGGCTGCTTGGACCATTCGGACGTGGGTGTTGCCAGTTGCGGCCGGTTTGTGAGGTAACACAGGAATTCCACACGCTACGTAGATGCCTTTCTGGAAGGCTTTTACAGGCAGGTTATTTTGCAGCTTTTTAAGATTAGTCTCGTAACCAGCCGTTGACTATCTCAAGATACCTATCTCCCTTATCCTACATGTACTAAAACTTTCCCTCATTAGCCTGTACAATATACCAACCGGACAAACATCTCAATGTTTCACAACAAAATCTGGTAAAAGACATCCGATCATAGCACATGCAATTTCATGTTCAGTAGCGAATTTGAGGGGCCACAAGGCTGAGTATCCGAACTCACATTTTGAAGATGACTCCGTCCTATATATATTCCATATCTTGAACTATAACAGAAATCGATGCAGCTGGGTGCGCGTGACAAATGACCAGACCAGTAAAAAGGTTTCATTAGGTGGTTTAGTCGGGTGCCAATGTCGAAGGGTTCGCTCATATATTGAATGGCACCCATAACTCTTCTTTGTAAGTCAGCAACCTCGGAATGTTTGTCAAAATGATAGTTAAGTCCGAGCTACAAGTGTGCTACTTATAGAATATGATAGGTCAACTAACGAGATTCACAATAAGCTT